GCTTACCACTGAGGAGCAGAGGGCCCTGTCTTTGAAAAGGAAACAGCAGAAGTGATAAATGTCAGGTGAGTCGAGATGTGCAATCAGTCAGAAAGTCAAGCAGATAACCTTGACATTTAGGCCGCTGGTGTTGAAGCCCCACAGAGGCTGCAGAGCGAGACCAGAGGGCCCGGTGTCTTCTGAGCTGGACTACATTAAGAGCTAACCTATTAGTCGTGTTGTTGCTGGCTGTCTCTGAGCCACACTCTCCTGCCTAATAAAGCCTAGCGAAACATGGCCGCTGAGTAAATATACCGAAGCACGTGCGCGCACACACACACACTAGCGTAGAAACACACAAACAGATGCACATCTCGTTCCTTCTCCTTTTCTCTGAGTGGCCGCAGGGATCCGGTTACACCTGCTTGCACATCTTCTAGCAATTAGGAGCAATCTGCTTGAAACCATTTCACGTTCAAGGTCTTCCCCAGCCGTGGCAAGAGGGGCCCGACATATATAGAGCTGCAGAGGTCTTTCTGTTGATGGGCCTGAACAAACAATGCTGGCCTGTAGTTTCCCACTGGCTGGGTCCTGGTGGAGACACCCTGAACGATTCCCACCTGAAGGTTTTCCCCTCCACCTTCACCCACATCATGTCTGCTTTGTAACCTTTTACCACATTCCTTTTCTATTTTGTGCCATTTAGGAAAACGTGATTTGAGCAATGTGCATCTGTCACACTTAAAGCAAGTTGAGCGATTTCTCCGAGTCCTCCCGTGGATTTGGGCTGTTGATACCGGGTTAGTAAAGTTGCATAAAGAGAGAACAGAGAGAGACATATCTGAAATATGTCTCGTTTTCGTGTAGTGGGAAAAGGTGCAGTGAGGAATTCAGCAGAGAGCAGGCTTGACTGTGTGGCAATGCTCTGAGCTGGGATTTGTAAGACACCCAGAGCTGGCTTTAGCAGCAGGAAACCCCAAAGCCTGTAAATAATCCACATGTGCAGACTGCACATAAAGACATCCAGTACTTAGCAGTTCCCTTATCACAGCGTGATAGCCCAGGGACATAAGAGACGCTCCTGCCTCTATTCACTAATATGGTATGAAAGTAGATGCAGATAAAGCGCCTGTTGTTTATTGAGGAAGTTGTGTTAACATGGGGAAGAGGATGTGAACTTTGAACACGTTTGAAATGTGGAAAATAAAAGAGGATTGCAAATGACAAGGATACCAAATTGCAACGTCTTTGTTGCTGATAAAACCTTGTCATGTGCTGGAGGGTGTTTTCTAATCAAAAGCACCTGGAGGGTTCACTCCCTCCATGGTGTGTGTGTATTTGTGTGAGCGTTAACTCCCAAACAATGATTGTATGTCTGTTGTGCGAATGTAGGCGTCTATCTGAGCAGTTGTGTTCTTATTCCAGTAACAAGCTTGCCTCCCAAACAACCTCAGCTTGAGATTCTAATAGGGCTACTGTAGTCTCGTATGCTTCAGCAGAAAATGATGTAATGCACCAAAAAAAAAAAACAACACTCTTTTTCAGTTAAACCTCAATTATTACACATTTTACTCTTCATACAGTAAAAAGCGCACAACAGAAATGAAATCTGCAAGTATAGAGTATGAAAGTCTGAGACAGTTTCATTTTAAGTTCTCAGGGTGCACTTCAGTTTCCATGATCTGGCCTCAACATTTTCATTGTAATTCATTCATTTAACCCGATCTATAGCGTACAACATGCTGCTTCTCTCACTTCTCGGTGTTTCACATGCTGCGTGCTGGTTTCTGGTTTGTCACATTTTGTCTGGGGCAGCTCCTACATGCTCACGTCTATCAGGCATTCAGTACCTCTGAATGGAAGATCAAAAGAAGATAAATTCCAGGTGGAGGAGGAGGAAGGGAGAGCTCTTAAACAGAGGAGTGGGTGCTGTGTAAACACGACAATGACAGTTCACAATAGGTTGTTTTAGCCCAGCTTCAGGCCTCTCAAAGGCACGCCGCCTCCAGCCGCCGTTTTAAAACACAAACTTGACAGCAGCATTCCTAAGCATGAAGCCGACTTCACAACACAGGTTCTCGGCTCGCTCACCTTTTAGTCTCTTTATTTGTATACCAACAGCGTTTGCTCGTCTTGTCACTTTGCCTTTGAAAAGTTGCTCGTTTTCAAGCCAGCGTACTGGAGCTTGTACCGTCATGCTCAGTGTGATTTCAGTTAATTTGCCTATGTCAAGATGATCATTGACTGTGTTTTCAAGGGCATGATCACTTAATTATTGCCCTTACTTTAATTGGACGAATAATTTGATGAAGCTGTTGACATGAAAACTAGGAAGGCTGCGTTAATAATTTTCTCATTTCATGCAATGTGGCAAAATGCTATCATTGCTTAAATTGCCATGTGACTCCACTGCTTAAAGGCATCACGTTAATGTAGTCATAATAGTCATATAGCATGTAACCGTCTGCTGCTAAATAATTACATACACAAAGACTGTACTTCAAAAAAAAATGTGCGTCAGACACAGTTGCACACACGGCTGGGTGCTGTGGTGACCAACCTTAGGTGATACCTGTGGTTTGATAGCATAATAGTTATACTTTGAGCAACCTAATGGAATCAGTTTGTGTCAGTGCTATTAAAATATAAATGTAAATACCCCCGTTACTGCGGTGTCAAATTGTTTCATCTACTTGTAGTGACCGACCTTTTGCAGTCAGCCTTTTCTTTTCTGTATATTTTACTGACAGTGGGGAAAGACTTCCCAGAAATGTATCTTTTCATCCATTACTGTCTGAACTTCCTATCATATCCTGTTGACTCAACTCTCTTTGTTCCAACACCCTCGGTTGTAAACCCAGACACACACACACCACACACACATTTCACGGCATGTGTCATCAGTTACAGGGAAAAAGAAAACAGCGAACTTTGTTTACTCTTCTATATGCCCGTAATACCACACCTTGGGCGTAGTGAATGATTTTTTTTACTGTGGGGTTTTTTTTTTTTTTTTTAGTTCCTTATGAATTGTCAGTGCTTCCGACTAAAAATCCATTTAGGTGACGTACGTGTTTCTGATGCGGTAGTAGCAAACAATTTAAATAAAGACCTCGCTTGTTTGATCTGTTAGACCTGCAAACGCAAGGTACCACACTACCTAACCTTAATTACATTCACATTAAAAATATAGTTTTGAAAGCTGTCGATTTGGGATTTGATGCTAAAATGTCTCATTTGTCAGGTTGTTCTTTGTGTTAGTTCTTTTTGCTAAGTGGAACTAAAGACATTTTTTTTTTTACCCCAAATATAAATTACAATAAAATTGTAATAACCTTTTAGAAATTGATGAAACAAAGCTATTTTAAATCATGATATGAAGAATGTCATCATCACGCTGTGCATAACTACAAGAGACAATCTCACAATATTATAACTCATCAGTATTTTTCCGATCCCCTCCGAGTGTCAATTCAGTTCACATCCTGCTTCAGATTTTTTTTTTTTTTTTTTTTGATCACATTTTAAGTTGCACTGGAGTGAAAACTTAAAATGTAAAATGTAAATATTGCGTGGGAGTGAATCTTGCTCACATAGTTCTTAGTTTGAATTTATACTCTTTCTTTATGAGTATACTTGCTTGAAGGGGGTTCCCACAATTTTCAAAGCAAAAGACAATTAGCCATGCAGAATGCGATATGTCGGTGGAGTGTCATTTATCTTTACATGAGAGAGCTCGGAGAAGGACAGAGACAGACACAGAGAGAAGGAGAATTTTTTTTGTGCTTTAAAGTTAAGCATGTTGAAATGCCAGGAGTGTGGCCTCTTTGTAGCCTGCGGTCATATTTATGCCTCATGATGTCATCCAACAGCCGTGTGTTTGGGAGGGTCAATACATACACCCACACACAGACCATCGTACAGCTGTTCCCTTCAACCCCCTAACCGTCTCTCTCTCTCTCTCTTTTCTGTCTTAAAGTATTGTCAGACTTAACTCACTAAGGCTTTACTGGCATCTCTATCTTTTCGTCTCTACGCACTATTTGCTTTTTCCCTTTCGATATCTTACTTTCACACAGTCCTTTACAGGTTTCACTCACTTTTTCACACATCGCGCTAACTTTTTTGCTCTTTTGTGCTGTGCATTCTCTCCTTTACTATGACCTTTTCAAACATTCCTCCACTTACTTGATTTTTTTTTTTCTTTTTACAATTTCTGAACCTCTCAGATAATTGACTAGAGAACTAATACGTGGTCCGTCTATAAGATGAGCTTGGATGCGCCCCCTGACTGTTTGTTTAATTGTGGGAGCAATCGTCTGAGGAACATGGAAAGAATGAGGCCAGTTATTTACCCAGATGGTTTACTGGTGGAGGTGTGAGGCTGGCCAGCTCACTGTGGGAACACAACGCTTGCTTTTCTTGGTATCGCTGACCGTTTTCAAGACCACTGTGTTTTTTTCCCCCAGCTTTCTCCAGCTTTGTTTGCTCTGGATGGCATGTTTGATTATTTATCGTAGGGGAAAAGGGAGTAGCTGGAGCAATAAACATGTGACTGCACTGTATTTTGTTTTCCACTGAGAAGGCCGTGTCCTTTAACAGATATTTGAAGCAGCCATAAAGTCTTTTATTTGCTTTCTAGAGGGGAGTTCGACTGAGCTGAAGGAGGATCAAAAGCGCTGATTAGTGTCTTTGACAATTTGTGTTTGCAGTAAGTGCAACTTATCAACAGATAAATATTTATTCTGGATGGCTGTGGATGATTTTTTTTTTTGGTCTTCTCTCAGTCTGTGAATTTGTTTTGACATCTGATGATTGTTTATGCCAGCCTTAGCTTCATGACTCTGAATAGAAGAGTATGAAAAGATGCTATCTATCAGAAGGCAAAGGGAATATTGTTCTATGGGGATACATCTGCTCTGATAATAGGCGTCAAAGTGCTCTCAAGGGGCTTTAAGCTTATCTACTTGTAGAATTTCTCTGAGCATTTTTTAACACTTTGTTGCTTTTCTTTCTATTAGGCTCTCCAAGTGGCTCGTCAAATACTTCTCCAGCAGCAGCAACAGCAGCAGCAGCAGCAGCAGCAGCAGCAATCCCAGTCTCAGCACCTGCAGTCTCAACAAAACACTGGCCGCAAATCCCCTAAAGCCAGCGACAAGCAGCAAAGCCTACAGGTACCATAAATCTGTTGTCATTTACAGACACTCTCCTCTGTATATTAACTCATTATTGTCAGATGGTTCAGTGATTTCACTTTGTGGTTGCTCAAATTCAAAAAAATCTGAAGTGAACTTACGCAACTCTTGCTAGAACACAGTGTGCGAGGAAAAGTACAGCACTGGTCTAAGTTCACAAACAGGAAATTAAAATTGGCAGTGCAACATTTTGCAGTTATGTATGCTCACACATCATGTGTGATTTTGCAGCAGACACACACACACACACACACACACGCACACACACACACAGTCAGCTATGTGTCAACTAAGTCTCGACAGAGCATTAGAAGCAATAGTATGTAGAAATAGGTTTTGTATCTTGGCCAAACTGGCTGAAAAGTCACTTTGTGGCCAGTTTAGATCACAGGAACTCATCCAGTATTTCCCGCTTTATCATTGTTTGTTATATCTACAGTAGACAGAACTTTCCTCATTGACTGCACTTTGTGTAGAAAGTCTGTATTCTGGGCATAAGCAGGAGAAAGTGTGCAAATGAGGCAGAAGAAAAGGGAGAGCTTCATTCTTCTCACATGGGAGTGAGTCTGGTCAGGCAGAGGAGACTCCATGCTTTCACCGCTTGCTTTTTCATCTCACACACACACACGCACACACACCAGAAATCAAAAGCTGAGCAGGGCCCTGCCACCAGCAGCAGGAGGTGCTATGGAGCAGCCCACGAATGGGGTGGTTGATCCAGGTTGGGGGGGGGGACTTGGAGGTGGAGTAGAGACAGATGAGCTAGGGGTGGGAAAGTGCAAAGGTGTTGTGAGAGTTAAAGAGGTGGTGGGACAGTTATGCTGACTGCTTTTTTGATGCGAGAAAAAAAAAAAACGCAGGATTTTTTTTTCTCTTTCTCATTTTTCATCTTGCCTTGCTTTTAATTCGAACAGCACTGCGTATCTGATGCAATATTTACGTTAATTTCAGATCAGCTGCCTCAGAGATGTATATCTTTGTTTGAACAAGGAGCGGTTGTTTGTGTCAGTGTGAAATTGCAAACGACTTCGGGGCATATTTGGTAATTAATACGGAGGCCCTGTTCTCTCTGTGTGTATATATATAATATTTAATACCCTTACTATCCCATTGGGGGCCCTTTTTAATGAGCTATTGTAGCAGCTAGGTCTAATGTCAGGTTGTGGAAAAGCCTCTTTGTTGTGCAGATGTCTTCGGAATAGCTCCAGAGGATGAAATATGACTGTGATGACCTTTCAGTTGTGTGCATATTTGTCAGGATTCAAATAAGTTGAAAGGATCAAACTAAACAGTTTCCCCAGCCTGCCAGGGAATTGTGCTGCAGAGGTCAACAGAGGGGACCACAACGGCAGATTCCAGCGTACAGCCAGTTGTTGGTACATAGTGAAGTACTAGACCATCTCCTGCAGACAAAGACAAAATTAAAATTCTAATTTATTAATGTATACAGAGAGCTTGGCCAAGCTGTCACTCAGCTATTGAAAAGAGAGTCGGGCCCTTTCCCCCCGCTTCCCCTCCCCTCCCCTTTTCTGCCCAGTTCTTGTGATGAGAGCTCAGGCTCGCTGTAGTGTCTAACTAACGCAGTAAATTGCCTGCTCTCTAATGTTGTATGTTACGTTTTGCCGGGTTGAAACTCTTACGAAAAGCCACAGGTCCACACAAGTGTTTGTTTATCTCCGAATTACATATTCTGCTAATTAAACACACCCCAATCACACACACACACACAAGCTTTCATACAGTTCATACATAAACATCAGTTTCTATGTAAGCACGAATTACATTTGTTTGGGTTTTTTTTTCCACTCATGGTTTTCTGTTGGTGAGATTTCTGTTTTTTTTCTGTCTCACAAATACATTTTGTGAAACACCAGAGGGTCTGAGTCTCATCTCGCTTCCTCTTTTAAGAACAAACCCCATGCTTAGAGAAGCCCCCTTCACACAGAACATTCCCTATCTCCATCACACAGCCCGGATAATGATTCTCTGTTGAGCTGGACTGGGTCATCAAAAGACATGATCCAACGATTATGAGACTGTGTAGTAAGCTGACACCTCATAAAAGCACCTGATCTGCAGACGAAACTCCATTCATCTCAGCGGTCTTCCTATTAGGCACGAGAAGATGTGCAGAGAGACTTTTACTCATTTGGAGAGGTGACTCACTTTCCAATTCATTCAAGTCAAAAATAATGAAGCACAGTATATATGAAACATCTGAAAAAATGACCTGCATAGAGTACTAAAGGGGAAAAAATATGAGTCAAACAAGCCTCAGAATCCTTGATCAGCATTAAATGGCTCTTTGGTTTTATATCTCCAACAGGGGTGCCCCCCAAACCCCCCTCACCCCAGCACCGCCCACCCCTGCCTCTAGATGAAGATGCCTGTGCTGTATACTCAGCAGCCTGGAGGCCCTTTAATCATACTAGATATACAAACAGCTGCTATGCAGGCTGGAAAGCAGCTAAACATACTTGACTGGTCAAAAAGCCAGTAAATTACATTGACAGAATGACACATGTAATTAAAAGAATCCATGCCGCTTTTACCTTTTGCGCTTCACACCTACAGTGGCACAACGACGAGAGCCGGCAACTCCCACCCCGCTAATTACCATTATCAGTGAAATGGTAGGGTTTGACTCATTAGTTCCATGTGCATTTAATTAGAGGCAGGCTGAAATTGGATTTAACTTATTACTTTTTCATGGATCACTTTCTTGTCATCACTTCAAATTGGATTGCAGCCCCAGGTAACTAATTATGCCAGCCGCAGGATCAGGAGTGGAGAAATAGGTAATTAGGAACAACACTGTCGGACCCTCGCTGATAGTCCACCAGCACCAAGGTGGGGGGAGGGGAAATTGATGCTCGTTTGTGGCGTTGCACACGAGTCTGGCTGGTTAACTACACCTCGTTGCAAGGGATCCTAGGTATGCATCCACCTCCTACAGGGGATTATGTGGCACTCAGCTGGGCAGTAGATGTTGTGTCAACATGGTGTCTGTGCTATCAGTGTAATGCCCAGATTATGCTTGTTTCCCATCCGGGATTGTGTCTGAGATTGTTCTCCACTATTCATGTCACTGGTGCAGTTTGAGGTATGGCCAGCGGCCAGCAAAAGTCCGCTGTGTGGACACTGCTTGAATGACACTGACTGGTTTTTGTAGTTCATCTGCTGCTCTGATCATAATGAGAAAACCTGAATGGCCAGTTTGAGGAGAGGCAGGTGGATAATGTAAGAAAGTAATGATGCAGTCAGCAAACGTAACTATAGCAGGGAGCATTATGCATGAAGAGAAGTGTAAATGAAAGATTACTTTACTTTACATGCCACTGGGAGTTTTTATGTTCATCCTAAAGTTAAAAAAAAAAAATAATAATCTGCATTAGGAATTTGACATAAAAAGAATCTTTCCTTTGAGTTTCATTGTTTTTGCATTTATTGTAATTATATGTTGCCCTTATTTTTTTTAATGAGAAACACTATTCACAATTCTCTGATAAATGTTGCACTGAACATTTTCATAATGTCAAAGGTGCATCACTTGTTATTCTTCAGACACAGAGAAACTACTGATAATGTTTCAAAACCATGCCAGCAGACAATTTTCTTATCTACACTATTACCAGTTGAAGCCACAATCTGCACTTCTTTCTTCTCCCTTCCTTTTTTTTCTCCTTTTCTCTTTCCCTCTCCTTCTCTCACTCTGTTTTCACACCATAGTGTACAGCCTCACAGAGGGCATCTCCAGGTCAAAAGATAATGTCTTTCCAGTTTACAGGATGAAAGCCTTTTAAGTTGGAGAGCTCCCCTCCAACGCCCCTCCTCCCTGCGTTTGCTCTTCACATCCTTCATTTGTGGTCTGTTGGGGGGAAGCGTGATGTGACACAATCCAGGGGCCAAGCCTCTGTCTGACAGGACGGGGAGAAGCCGCCGGCTCTCTTTCTCTCCCTCTCCTACTGTTTTTGCAGTAGGCCCATGGCATTGTCCTGACACATGTATACCACAGAGCTCCAATCTGTAAGTCATTAGAGCACTAGGCCAAAGCCTGTCAGCTGGAGCTCAGCCAGTGCTGCAGGGTGATCTGAGGCAGCATTTCGAGGTGCTTCTGCGGCCCAGTCGGCCAATGGCCCAAAGTGGCACAGCAGTGGTAGTCTACTGGCGAGGTGACAGCAAGCGCGAATGTGGATTAATGTTCTGAGTTGGTTGTTATGAGGCAAAGACTCTTTTAACACAAAGGAGACCAAACAAAAGGCGTGCGTTTAGATTTGGTTTAGATGCAAACAAAAATTTTCAACCAGATGAAAAGGGACTAGTGAAGAAGTGTTCAACATAAAGAGAGAATTAATAAACTTGTTTGTATTCACTTTTACACTGTTGTGGCTGAACTGCGTCCATATTTAAAGGTGCAGTTTGATATTTTGGGAAATATGCTGATCTACTTTCATTTCAAGCTGGTTCCCAGTATAGATGCTACTCGCCTGTCTGTGCAGTGAATATGAAGCCACTGCCAGCAGCTAGTGAACTTTGCACAAGGACCGAACATGGGGAATCAGCAAGGCTGTCTCTTTCGAAAGGTAACAAAATCTGACCGGGTCTTGTCTGACGCTGTGAAGTCGCTTTTACTCTTAAATTATAGCACAAATGAAACAAACCAAATTGTTAGATGACCTATAGAGGTGCTAGTAGGTGGTTTTTGTTGGTTTTGGTAGCTTTTATCTTTGTTTCCCATCTTTGAGCTAAGCTATGCTAACTGGCTCCTGGCTATAGTGTCTACTGGACATGAGAGTAATCTAGATTTTCTCATCTAACTCCAGGCAAAAAAAACCCAAAAACAAATAAGTGAGTTTCCCCAAAATGCCGAACTGTTTCTTTAAAAGCCGTGTGTCGTTCCTGAATGCGCTCCTGATCAAAATCGGAATGGTTGACATTTTTTTTAGCAGTCTTCGCTTCTTTACCTCCAGGATGTGCCG